GCAAATCGAAAATGTGTACCAGGTTGTGCTCCGGATGAGTCCGGAAATCGAGCCAAACGATCCAAACGATCATTAATGATATCATCGATTAATTAAATAAACTATCGTTTATACTACAGTACAATACTAATAGTAATTATCGTTATTTAAAAGTTAATTCTTTTCTTTATTAATTCACTTCATATTTCGCTTTATATTTTTCTTTACATTTCGCTTCATACTTTCACTTCATATTTCGCTTCACATTTCGTTTCACATTCACTTCACATTTCGTTTCACATTTCGCTTCATATAAAATAAAATAAATATATAAAAATGCAAACCGATTCACTCAACTTTGCTAATTCGTTCAACTTTGCTGATTTACCTACTCCACTTCAAAATATTCTTCCACCAAATCATACTTATAAAATAAAAGGTTATACTGAATTAGAACCAATTGTTACATCTGAAAAAGTAAATATTGGACAGCTCAATGTAAATTTATTCGTGGATCTTAACAACCAAGAAGGTGCCTTAAATTGGTTAAGCGAATTTCAGGAAATATCAAAGACCACCATGCGATTAACCAAAACCTTCAATGTCAAAGGAAATAAAGTTATTTTTCGGGAAAATAGACACTGTATTCATAGTCATGCAGTCAAACAAAAAAATAAAAATCGTGAGATCAAAAATCCTGATAGCCAACGAAATAGAGATACAAATTGTAAGGCAACACTTGCTTTTAAATTAGAAAAATCTAATATTGGAAATTCACATCCACTTGAAATTAATCTTCGTTATACGCATAATCATTTACCAAGTTCAGCCGCATCACTTAGCTTCCGACCAGTTAGTATAGAAACTCAAAAGAGTTACATAGATTTATTTAGTATAGGTCACACGGTAGCTACAGCAAGACATATTTATGAAGATAAATTACACTTATCTGCAACAAATAATGATGAGCTTGTACGTCTACTAGCTGATCGGGCGAAGAATCCAGATGGTGGTTTTTTGCGGCACCTTTATAATCAATTCCGTCTTGCACAACTTGGTGATAGAAATGGGAAAGGAATGTTTGAGCGACTACAAGAAATGGTTACTGAATATAATAATACAAATAATGGTAAAGCAATTCTCCAAATTTATAATTCAACAAAAAATACTCCCTTTATTCTTTGCATTGTAACGGGTTTGATGAGAAGGGTACATGAAAAGATTCGCCAGGCTGGTGAACTTTGTTACTTAGACGCATCTGCTGCATTCGATCCTCTTAATACATCTATGTTTCTCCTTTATACGAGTTGCTCTATTGGCGCTTTACCATTAGGAATATTTTTAACTTCAGATGAAGCTGAAGTTACAATAGAAAACGCCCTTAATCTACTTAAAACAATATTACCAGGCAATGCATTCTATGGCCGGGGTCCTCAAATTGGCCCTAGTGTAATTATAACTGACGATTCTTATGCTGAACGGAATGCTCTAGAAATTTGTTGGCCAGAATGTACTCGATTGTTGTGTGTTTTTCATGTTTTACAGGCACTGTGGAGGTGGTTATATGATTCTAAACATCAAATTCAAAAGAATGATCGGATTTCGATTATGCATTCCTTAAAAGCTATTTTATATGCACCTACTATCCCTAAAATGGAAGCAGAGTATTTAAAATTTAAGGAACAATACTTTACTAAATATAATCAACTTGCGGTACATTTTACACTTCTTTGGGAACGACGGGCCTCCTGGGCATTATCATTTCGGGAAAACTTAATGTTACGTGGAAATCATACAAATAATTATGTAGAACGCAGCTTTGGGCTTATTAAAGATATTATTTTTGCTAGAACCCAAGCTTATAATGCTGTTCAAATCTTTCAGTTTATTGTAACAAATATGGAGCGTTTTTACGAGAGACGAATATTAGGTATTGCTAATCGACATCCGGGCCATCTAGAATTGTCAAAACGGTTTCTTTGTCCTGGCTGGAATACTGTAAACCAGGAAGGCATTCATTACGATGCCACTAATAATATATATAATGTGCCAAGTGTAACAACTCTTGGCAAATTTTATACTGTTGATCTTTCTATTGGTACTTGTACATGCTTGGCCGCTCTTGGAGGGTCACCTTGTAAACATCAGGCCGCCGTTGCCATTAAATATCATGAACGATCATTTAATTTTATTCCAGCTTTATCGATTAATGACTGTATGGACTATCATTATATCGCATGTGGTAAGTATAAATATTAATAATAATAATATTTTTTATTATTATCGCTATTGTTACATCTACTGTAACTGTAAATATTTATAAGGTACGGTTGCACAAGATTTCTCATTCTATGCATCTTTACGAGCACCTGCTATATTCGAAAATAATAAAATGAATATGCATAATGAAAACACTAATGCTGGTGCAGATATAAATCATCAAGATTCAAATATCGATATATCTACTGTGAATGATATTACTTGGTATGTATATAATTTGTAATTGTGATAATGTATATGTAATTTGCTAATTTTTTTTTTTATTACATATAAAGCGATTCTAATAACAGTGAGGATAAGAGTACTCGTATTGCAGAAGTTGAAAATTTTTTTCAGCGTATTATTAATGATATAAAACAAAATGGACAATTACTTGCCGGCATTGAAAATTTTAAGAAAGAATATGAAAAAGCCGAATCTTTATCATTGGGTAAACTGACTTCTTATCTTTATCAACGAAATTCTACCGTAAAAGCTGAATCATTGCGAAGTGGTGCAAAAATTCGAGTGCAACCAGCATCAGTACAACGAAGAAAGCGCAAGATTTCTCAAGAAAATATTGACCCGACAATAATGAAAGCACGCAAAAAAAGAAAAACTTCCAAAAAAATACATAATTTATCAAAAAACATTAGTGAAAACAAACAAAATTAATAATAATGTAAAAGCATTTAAATTTTCATAAATGTATACGTACAATGTATTGTAAATTTGCGTAAAGTGCAAAAATTATTATTAAAAAAAATATATGTAATTAACCGCGCAAACTTCAAAAATTTTTCGGACATTCATTCCGGACTATCATTCCGGACTATCACATGATCATCCGGAGCGCAACCTGGTACACATTTTCGGGTTGC